TGTTTTTCACTGATCAGCTGTTTATTCATTTTCACCAATTTGTTCATCTCTTCAAACAATTCCTCCTCAGTGACTTCTTCATCATCACTATTCATCACTTCGTCATTTTCTTCTTCGATAACCCCGAGGAATGCCACAAAGTTAGATAGATTATCCTCATCACTCTCACTTTCTTCATCTGAAGAGTCATCTTCGTGAGTAATCAAGGATTTTCCTTTCTGTTTTATGCATTCCCTCTTTGTGTGACCAAAACCCTTGCATTCAAAGAATTGAGTTTCCTTGAGATTTTTCAGCACACTTTCCATCCTTGCAATGCTCGGACATTCAGCCTTCCAGTGTCCTGCACCCCTACATTCCAAGCATTTTCCTGAATCTTTGTTACTTTGCTGTCCAAATTTATTCTTTCCCTTGAAGAACTTGTTGAACTTCTTAATGACAGAAGCCATCTCATCATGCAACTCTTCTTCAGACTGTTTCTTATTCTTCACCGGTTTTCTACTCTCTAACTCGGTCTCTCTTGTTTCAGGAACATGAAGAGCGATACCTTGTCCCTTTTTCTGTTGGACAAATGACCCTCCATTCATCAATTGTAGCCTCAATTCATGGGCAGCGAAAGTACCTACAGCTTCCTTGAATGTGACGGTCTCTAGATTGTTTACTCCTTCAAACACCAAGATCTGAGAATGATATTTTGCTGGTAGACTGTTCAAGAGCTTCTTCACAAGTTTGTCATTGCTGATTCTCCTTCCAAGTACACTCGCCTCATTCGACAAGGCACTCAACTTCCCACAGAACTCTTTAACACTCTCATCATCTTCCATTCTCAGACGCTCAAATTGGAGATCTATCATATCCAATCTGTTTCTTTTCACTTTGGATGTTCCTTCATGTATAAGCTCCAAAGTATCCCATGCATCCTTGGCAGTTTCACATCCTTGAATTTGTTCAAACTCTTCATGACAAACACTGCTGAAAATGATAGATAGCGCTTTCTGGTTCAAGGCAGAATCCCGCTTTTCTTGATTTGTCCATTGGCTCTTTGGTTTCACTTTGGCAATTCCATCGATAATATCAGTCGGTCGAGTCCATCCGTCCGTAACTGCACTCCAAGTATCTTCATCAAGCCCACGAATATAAGAACTGATCTTGACTTTCCAATGCCCATAGTTGGTTGAGTCGAGCATAGTAGTGTTCCCGAGCGATTGAAACTTCTTGAAACCTTCCATCGTGTGAATCTGAATCTTACACCGATATGAGAGGAAAAATTCCTACGATCAGTGACCTGCTCTGATACCAATTGAAAAAGCACTCTCACACGATATTGCAAATCAAAAATTCCCAAACTGATTCTATTTCTTTGATACGTGTCAAGTACACTTCAATCCTTTCCAAGTAGCACTCAACCCACCCAGTTTCACTCCCCCTGAGTAAAACCCCAGTATCACAAGAAATTCTATCAGCCACAAACACTTTGTGTGCAGCGCACACCACGTGTTACCCTAGACCTCGTCTAGGCCAGTGAGCGGTTCGCCTGTTGCTTAAGGCTCCCCCTCAGATCTACCTCACGTTCTCTCAGATATCTCTCACCAGTGTTTCCCGTACGTGTGACTCTCACCCAGGTCACAGACTCTGCTTCTCAATAGCAATGATCTCGACAACCTTTCTGTAATGGGGTCTTCGGTATATATAAACTTCTCCAAGTGATTCTCTCAATATCATCCGAATATATGCCTTGTCTTTTCTTGATTGATGTGAATGTCTTCTTTCCTTTTGTTGCTTCTTTCCTTTTGTGCTTTCCATATTCAACTCCATACTTCCATTTGTTGATTTGAATCTTCTAGATGCTGAATATGCTATTTCCTTGCTTTAACATACTTGAAAAAGAGTTCCATTATCTTCTTTATGACAAAATTTTAATGTTTATATAAATCTCCTTTTTATTTTTTATTTTTCCCTAATATGAATTTTCGAAAATATCCTATTACTATTCGTATTTTTGGATTTAATATAAATATGAAACCTTTGGAAACTATATATATATATATATATATATATATATATCCATTCAGTTGAACTTGAAAAAGAGTTCCATTATCTTCTTTATGACAAAATTTTAATGTTTATATAAATCTCCTTTTTATTTTTTATTTTTCCCTAATATGAATTTTCGAAAATATCCTATTACTATTCGTATTTTTGGATTTAATATAAATATGAAACCTTTGGAAACTATATATATATATATATATATATATATATATCCATTCAGTTGATAAAAAAAAATCAACTAAATAATGACATTTGGTTTAGTTAGATTAAATTACTAGTACTACTATAGTAATTAGTTTGTTATGTTTCGTCCAGTTATTAACCAAATAAGATCGAGTAACCAATAGATCATTCAATAAGTCCATTCGATTGAACTAAGTTTTTAATGTATTTATATATTAATTTTGTATTAATAGATAAATATAGAGTAACAAAATTAGTTTTGTTAATTAATTAAATTATTGATATTTTACTTTGATTTGTTATTGTAAGGCTAAGTTGTTGTTCGATTATAATTTTTTTTAATAAGATATTTGGCTTACTTTTTTTATATTTGAATTAAACTGTTTTAAATCATATAAATATCTGGTTATATTTTTAAACTTAATGTACCGTATCCACTGTAATCGAAGTAAAAAAAAAAATTTGAATCAAAACTTTAATCCATGTAAATGACAATCCGATCAATTGTATTCTTTATACCTGATTTCACCTCTTTTTTTTTTCATTTTTCCTTCTTAATAAATTATAGGAATTATATAGATTGTCTGATTTTTTAGATATATTCAATATTTTTTAAAATAAAAGCAGAAAATAATATGCATGACCCTCTAACTAAAATATATCCAAAATATCATCTTTTTACTAAAACTACTTTTACATATATCATTTTACAAATGTGATAATGTGATCAAAATTACAATATGATCATGGTTATAATATTAAATTTATGATGATTTCATCACATGATTAGTGTGATATGTAAGATGTGATCATTGTTATTTGGTATGATCAATATAAAATTAACATTATAACAAATGTTATCACCTTTTGAATATGTATATATATGTCATTCTAAAAAAAATTTGGGCGGTAGTTTTGGTAACAACAGAGAGAATCTCCCCCACCTACCTACCAAGTTCTTTTGACACTTGTAAATACACATTTCATGATTTACTTTGATATATATATATATATATGTATGTATGTATTATAAAAGCGACAACAGAATAAAACATGAATTTCTGGGTAGGTTTGAAGAAAATCATTAAATGTTTCCAATGGGAAACAATTTAAATATTTAAAACATGATATTTTTTTATAATGCGAGTGAATATAAAATCAACAAAAAAAACAATTGTAAACTTTTTTTATAGAAGAAATATTTATCTCATTCCAGATAAAATTAAAACCAAATTAAAAGCCATATGAAATGCAAATTATTTAATATTTAAAAAATCAAAAGATCTAATTGAAAGCTAAAATATCCACCAAACAATGACTCAAAACTTTTTTCGAAATGTTTAGTAAACCCAGAAGACGGATAACTTTGAGTATCAAGACACGTTTATTTTATGTCACAAACAAATAAATAAACGTAATTAAGAGTGTAATACATCAATTATAAATATTATATTTTTAGACTCTAATTATGATTTACCGGATCGTATTGTTTTAGATTCATAGATAGTGTCGACATCCCTGGGCTTTTAGTTAACCCTAAAACCTGATACGTTTTTAAAATCAAATAAATCAAAATTAAGTAAAGTCAAATCGCATATAAAAACATATAAATAAAAAACAAAATTTCCTTTACAAAATGGCAAGTTTTATTGAAAGCTAAATTCGAAGCATATAGAATAAAGAAAGATATAAAAATCCAATGTCCATATATTTCTTACAAAATAACAAAAACCGAAATGTCTTTTAGGTTTCGGTATTGTTTTTAATAAAAAGTTGATTCCCATCTAATGAGTCCATTTGTTAAGAAGGCCCAATTACAGATACAGGCCCAAATAATACCAATTCAATAAGGCCGAAGAGTACGTGACACTTTCCCAACAGTACATTAATATATATATATATATATATATATATATATATATATATATATTTTAATAATTGGGTGATCCCAAATCCAGAGACTCAGATTAATTTCGATCCACGTGCACGATCCTACAACACACACGTGGGATGTAAAACATCCAAAGGTGATAGGAGGGGAATCTTCGTACTCTAGATGTTGAACCCACGACCTCGTTTATAGGAAGGGGACTCTCAAACCAACAGAGCTGGGATTCCCTGCATTAATATATATATGATTGGCTTTCACCAAATCCAGAGACTCAGATTAATTTCGATCCACGTGCACGATCCTACAACACACACGTGGGATGTAAAACATCCAAAGGTGATAGGAGGGGAATCTTCGTACTCTAGATGTTGAACCCACGACCTCGTTTATAGGAAGGGGACTCTCAAACCAACAGAGCTGGGATTCCCTGCATTAATATATATATGATTGGCTTTCAATAATTTTTTTCACATTAAAAAAAATACCCATTATTGAAAACAAATAATGAATCGCACCGTCCACAGGTTCACGTATTCCCGTTGACAAAGAAGAAAAATATCTCATAACGATTGAATGCAAACAATTCATAATTGGGAATTTTTAATTAAATAAAAATACATAGATACCATATATTATACACATGGGGCATCCCTTCATGAACAGTGCTCATTGTCGGCTACAGCCATCCGCGCCATTTCGTGAGACACGTGTCACTCTTTCATCTACTCGGAAGCGATCTACGAAACAACCTGTTCCTCGTTTCATGCGTATCCCACGTGGCACACCGCCACCGTCCAGGGATCCAAAGCCAATGAACTAATAATATTCCGACACGTGTCCCTTTGGAGAGGTATATATATCCGCACGATCTGTCGCCGTCATACTCGAACTAGAAAACAACACAAAAATCCAAAAGCATAACTTCAGAAACAAACTTTTTTTACCCATTTTTGTCTTTCTCTCTTTTCTCTAGGTCAAATCTTAAATCTTATCCGTCAAATGATCCGTACATCAGCCGGGTCGGCTCGCCGGATTCTGAGTTTCCCGGCGGTTCAACCATGCGAGACGATCCCCACACTCACCCTTCTGAATTCACTGAGTCAACTCGCCGGGGACATTCTCAGCTACAGAACCAGACATGTCTCCACGAACCGGCGGAATGTCCGGGAAACTTTCAGGCAGATCAACAACCTCGTCATCGTCCTCGATGAAATCCGGATCCGGGTCGGGTCGTCGGATCGTCCGTTACCCGACTCCGCCGTGTTGATCCTCTCGGAGCTCCATGTGATCTTTCAGAAGCTCAAGTTCCTTGTGGAAGACTGTGCAAGAGACGGAGCTCGGTTATGGATGCTGATGAACTCGGATCAAGTGTCGGGACATTTCCGGGTCCTGACCCGATCCATCTCCAACACCCTCGACGCATTTCCGGTTAGGTCAACGGATCTACCCAGAGAAGTTAACGAGTTGATCGACCTCGTCGTGAGGCAAACCCGGAAGGCGAGGGTACAGCCCGACCCAGATGACAAACGGGTGGTAGATTGTGTCGGACGGATACTGACTCAGTTCGAGAACCGGGTTGACCCGGATCCAGACGAGATAACCCGAGTTTTAGAGCACGTTGGGATCGAAAAGTGGAGCGATTGCGGAAAACAGATCAGATTTATCGAAGAAGAGATCGGAACAGAACGTTTGGACATAACCATGGAAGAGAAAAACAAAACCCAGATCGAACTTCTCAGTGGTTTAATGGGCTTCATGTTCTATTGCAGATGCGTGATATTTAGATGTATCAACAAAGATCCCAGAGATGATGATGACGACGACAAGGTTGCAGATTTTCGCGATTTGATCCATGGCGTGAACCCTGATGATCTTCGCTGTCCGATATCTATGGAGATCATGTCGGATCCTGTTGTTATAGGAACAGGGCACACCTATGATCGAAGCTCGATCTCGAGATGGTTCAGATCCGGGAATCTTACATGTCCTAAAACCGGCAGGAGTCTCACTAATACTGAATTAGTGGATAATCTCGCCGTTAAGCATGTGATTAAGCTTTACAACTCCCAAAACGGCGTAGTTTTGACGGAGATGGATCGGGGGAGGAGCAAAAGGAAGACCCGTGACGTGAGACGGACTAGTGAGCAGTTGAGTTTAGCGGCGGAAGGCGTCGGAAAACTTCTCGCCGGATTTCTCGCCGGAGAATTGGTCAACGGTGGTGAAGTAGAAGACATTGGCAGAGCTGTTCGTGACGTTAGTGTTCTTACAAAGACGAGCATTTTTAACAGGTCTTGTCTGGTGGAATCTGGTACTGTGGATCCGCTTCTGAAGCTTTTGCGGTCGGAAGATCACGATGTGCAGAAAAACGCCATGGCTGCTCTACTGAATATCTCGAAGAACATCGCCGGGAAATCAAAGATCGCCCAGAACGGTGGATTAGGGATCATAGTGGAGGTTTTAAACGATGGAATGAGATCAGAGACAAGACAAAACGCTGCCACCGCTCTGTTTTATCTCAGTGCTGTCGGAGATTACAGCAGATTGATCGGAGAGAACCCGGATTCGATTCCGGGTCTGCTTAATCTGATTAAGGGTTGTATTCACAACGATTTTGCTAAACGAAACGCATTAATGGCGATTATGGGTCTGCTAATGCAACAAGATAATCACTGGCGGGTCCTCGCCGGAGGTGCTGTTCCCGTTCTTCTTGATCTCATGAGATCAGAAGATTCCGGCGAGCTAACGGCGGAATCAATGGAGATTCTGGCGAAACTGGCGGAATATCCCGACGGAACGATCGCAGTGATCCGTCGTGGCGGGTTGAAACTCGCCGTAAAAATCCTGGGTTCGCCGGAGGTTTCGCCGGCGGTGAAGAAGAGCTGCGTTGCGCTGCTCTTGAACCTGTGTACTAACGGAGGGGGTGACGTCGTCGGGGCTCTCGTGAAGAGTCCGTTAGTGATGGGGTCGCTTTACACGGTGTTAGGTAACGGAGGGTGTGGAGATAGCAAAAAGACGAGCGCTCTTATCAGAATGATCCACGAGTTCCAGGAGAGGAAAACCGGTTCGACCGAACCGGTTATCGCGAGGGAACGGTTCGTACACGCCTGGTGATTCGGTTTGGTGCAGTAACCTTTGGGTATTTTAAAAGGGTTATACACCAAATACGGGATTATTTTATCTTTGTATATAAATGATATGTGAATAATATTATTAGCTCTCGGTTTTTATAGAAGGAGCTAATAATATGTAATCAGCTCATGGTTTTTAAAGACAAGCTGAGCCCATACTCTAATTAAGTTGTTTGTAAAAACGAATGAATAATATAAATCATCTATCTATCCATTTTAATAAAGATTTTTTTTTTTGTATTTTATTAATTAGTCAAAAACATTTGTTTGTTAAGAAATACAGAAGAGAGATCAAAGCGGTGAGCGAGCGGGGTAGAGATGTTATGCTTCACGCGCATAAATTCTAGAGAACTTGAAAGCGTGGAATTTTGAGAGCACCGTGCCGCGTGAGAAAAAACTTAAAAGTGGTTCTTGGGGATCGGGCCCGTTCTTTAATAATCTAAACTCATTGAGATCCCATCGGTTTAGCCATCGGTATTTGGGTCTTCAAATCAATAAAATTTCGATCAAGTAGAAAGAAGCATAATAATGCACACGATGAGTTCACAGTTACCCGACAAACTTACCCGTTATGTTGTGTCCGACGGCCAATGAGAGAGATGAAGACTCCAGAAACAGAGCATTCTTTTGAGACAAAAAAATGTCTGATATTATATACAGTTAATGATTCTCAAGTACAAACCCGTCCAAAAAGAAAAAGAAAGCCAAGAATCCGAAGAACCTTTGATTTCAAAATAAAAAAAAAATAAAAAAAAATCAGATTAAATTCTGTTTTGTTCATCCTAAAATCAGATAAGATTACACAACAAACACATCATCATCATCTCCAATCCAATCTGGTTTCTCCACCCAGAGTGTCGTTTTGTAACTAAACACAAATAGCCAATGCATGATTTATTTTTTAAATGGTTTTTAACTTTTGGAGGTCTCCAAGTCAAGAGTTTGATCTATATATATATATGGAAATCACCAAAAGTTAAAAACCATTAAGAGATATTGTCTTTTGCTTAATGATCATCTAAATGTATGGTATTTGAGTGCACAACAACAAGACTCTTAAAAAGACAAAACATGCTATAGAAACTCACTTCCTTAGAACTAAAGAGAACTACTTCAGACTCGAGCTGCAACATTTTCTTCTACAGAATCAGAAGGGATGTTTTCTTTCCCTTTTTTCTATCACCGGCAATTCCAAGCCAGAACTAAAGACTGAAGAAAAGCATCACCACAAAAAAAAAAGGGTCTAGGCTTTAGGTTTTACCGGGAGGAGTCCAGCTTCGACGCGCTTGATCTCGAAGATGAGCATTCTCCACATCTTGAGAACAAACATCTCAGCCTCTTCGTCCAATATCGATTTCAGCAGCTCAAGCATCTGCGGCGCCTTCACGTGTTCCTGTGTGTTCGTCACTATGTAATCCACCAGTGTCGCTTCCTCCTCCCCTAAAAACTCTGTTATTTTCTTCGATATCCATGGCCTCATTCTCTCTTGCAATTGGTGCTATTTTTTTTTTTCAATATCAACCCCCCCAAAAAAAGCAGCCATGTGAGCACCAAAACATGGGCAATGCCCCCATAAATGTGATGTGTATTGAGTTTCTTTTGAGTTGCTTACCTTGTCGTATATTGCCCAGTTTATCTCGTATGAAAATAACTCATCCTTTGTCTTCGGGATTGTATCAATCAGTTGTTTTGCATCCAGAAGCTTCTTGGTGTCAGTTGTCTTGGATTTTCCAGTCTCTTTAATGTTTCCAGTATCTCCATCACCTCGGTCTTTATCCCGATACCCTCCCTTATCGGAACGTCTGCTCCTTTCTCTTACGGGTTCTGACCTCTCCTCTCTGGGATTGGCATTGTTTGAAAGGCGTTTTGCAAATTCTGCAGCTGCAGCAAGATGAGGAGGTGTATCCCCTGAGCCGGTATTTTGCATAGCTTGTTGTTCCTCGGCAGAGTAATCAATAGGAACCAGAGGCCTCAGCTTTTTGTCCTTATGTCCATCTTCATCTTCATCCTCGTGGAAAACAGACGGAACTGTCGTCCGCTTTCCAGACCCGACGAGACCAAACCCTAACTTCTTTGAAGGTGCATTCCCATCCTGCTGTGTCTCTGATGCATTATCAACAGCCATTTCCGTATCATCACCAGAGCCATTCTGGAAGATATCTGCAATTACAGATGGACGGAGCCAGTGAGGGAGGAGGCGAGAGGGAAAGATAGAAAAGATGTTAGATTCTTTACCTTCTAAATTGTTACCATGGGCAGATTCACCGATGGTCTGGAAATTTGCCTTGTCTTCATCTTCAAAAGCTGGTGGTGTCTGAATCTTTTCACTTCCGACAACACCCTGTCCAGATATAAGCCTTAAGGCATCTAGGTGTTGTTGCTGCAGCCTCTCCTCCTCAGCCTTCCTCTTCGCCTCAGCAACCTCCTCCTCTTCCTTCAATCTATCAGCTAAGTCATCTTCCTTCTCTCTCACCCGTCGCCGTCTTCTATCCTCTACTCCACTCCTATGCCATCTTCTTCTTGAATCATCCTCATCATCATCCTCATCTTCCTCGTGACGAATCTCTTTCTTCCGTTTATGCTCTCTCTCTTTCTCCCTCTCCCTCTCATACTGCCATTCCTTCTCCTTTTCTCTTTCTCTGCGTTCCCACTGCCTGAGACGAGCTTGATATGCACGTTCAACATCCTCCAATTTCCGCCTTTGTTCTCTCTCTTTCCTTAAACGCTCTCGTTCAGCCTCTCTATCATGCCGATCCGTCTCTTGCTCTTTTTCTCTATCCCTGCTTCTCCGATCATGTTTCCTACTCCAATCAGGCGAACTTGTGCCATGTCTATTCTGTTCGCTTGAAGTCTCTACCTCACTTTTGTGATCCGTGGCTTCTACACAGAACCCAAATCCTATCAGTTAAAAAGTAAAATAAAAGGGTAACATATAGCAAGACCATAAAGCAAACCACAAAAAAGCAACGGCAACAGACCATTCCAAGCAACCTCAGCATCATCCCCCTTCTTTGACTTCACTGCAAATTCCATGCCTGAACCGTCGGCCGATGGTGGTGGAGGTGGGGGAGGTAACGGATTGGTTCTTAACCTCTCTTCAATTGCATTTTTAATCTTTTCCATAGCCTCTCTATCAGCTTCCCTCTCTTCATCGGTCACAACTGCAGAATTGGCGATATCAATGTTCTCTGTACTCTTTGGCTCACCAACATTTTTTGCCTCTTCTGAAGAGAGCCCAGCAGATTCACTCTTATCGCTACTCTCTATTTTCTCTTGCTCTTTCTCAGAACCTTCAGCTGTACTTTCTTCAGATCCAACATCTTGACTTTCCTTGGCTTTCTTTGCATTCTCCCTTTTCTTCTCAACATATCGCTGCAAATACTCCTTTGTTGCTTGATTAACATTTACCTATCAGACACCAACAAAAAGAAAAACACGAAAAAAGAAAGAATGTTAAGAGATAGCCTCCATGCATATGTAGACGCTCCTTCAGTAGCAAATCTGCTTAAATATATATAAAATTTTGAATAGGGAGATCAACAGGTACCAGAAGCTGTTGCCCATCTATATTGAGTTTGCTCAACAGCCGGATGGTACGGAGAGCCCCTTCAGCTGATTCAAATTCATAGAACCCAAAACCTTTAGGCTTCCCCGTGGTGGGATCTTGAGCACGTATCCAGTGTTTGACTGGCCCACAAAACTTCAGAAAAGAGGCAAGATCAGTTATCAGAAGATAAATAACAAAAGAACAGTAATCCTAGAAGCAGACAAAAGTGGTCGTAGGCAAGGGGAACAGGGAAAACATAAACAACAGCAACAAGAAGATCGAATCAGAAAGAAACCTGGAGAATAGACAGCATAAAATCATTCTCCACGGTAGCTATTTTGCCAATGTAAATTGTGGCCTGGGGTTTCTCAGCTGGTGTTACAGAAGGAACAACAGCCGGTCTAACCACAGGAGGTATTACTGGGCGAACACCAAGCATACCAGGGACAGGAGGACGAAATATTACTGGAACAGCGCCAATAGCACCAGGTGGACGTAGAGGAAAGCCAGGACGAACCATTGCTGCGTATGGAGAAGGATAACGAGGAACTCCTGCATAAATAAATAAAAAAAACATTCTATGCAAAATCATCAGTTAATGTTTTATATCCTAATACCCAGCAAAACTGTCCATTAAGGATGTTATAAAGCGGAACCTGAAGATGTAGTTACATATTTTTACCACAAATTAGAGAAAAAAATAGATATACAAACCAGAAGCAGTGCAACTACCACCAGCTGAAGAGATAACCTGAAGCAACATTGAAATGGTAGCAATGGCCTCGGAGTGCGATGATGATCACATTAAATATCCTTACCTCATGAGGGCACTTCAAAGATACAAGCTTTTTAAACCATCAGAGCCAAACGGTGAATTCTGAGATCGGATAACATAGAAACGCCAGCATCTCATGCCCACATGAAAACTATGTGAACTATTATTTTTCATCAATAACTTGGTCTCAACTGTTAGCAGGTTGCAATGTCCTTCCCAGGAAGGAGTCCAAAAGAGACAAACATTGAGAATGCATAAGAAAAAAACTGTAATGTAGAATTGTGATACCTCAAAATCAAGACCAAGGAGCACAGACTGCTAGCAATGCTTGCTGCTGGCAGTTGGTTAACCCGTCGAGGGAAAATGTTCTTAAAAACTATAGTAAATTTCCATGTAACATAACATAATTGGACGAAAACAAGGATAAAATACGGAGGAAGTTTCATTCTGTAAAGGTACTTTAACAGGTTCACGGATAGGTCACGGTGTGTAAGCAAATTAGTTTCAGAGGAGATATGCAACGGAAAACAATAAGGCAAAAAGGAACAAAAGCGAATTTGTGCATACCAAAATGAGGGAGTCGTAGAAGTGAGTCCCTAACCATTATTTGAAGCCTTGCAACCTTTCTCACGAAATTCACTCAATACACTGTAGGAGAAAACACCCGGTCATTGGTGCCCCTTTTCTAGTTCCTCCCTACACCTAATAAAGTTTCTGTTTTTCTCTGTACCATTTACCTATCTAACTACGTTAACGACAATGAAAATCTTTTCTCTTGAATCACATTCAACGTACACAGAACCGGAGCAAAACAATTCCACCGTAGAAAGATTCCTATAACCTAAGTACCATCAAGAATTATGGGCAGAATTAGCAAAAAGCAATGCCAGAGAACGAAGAGAAACCCACCCGGAGGAGGCATGGCGCCGTGAGGAGAGATCCCTGGCACGCCGTCGTAACCATTGGCCATAGGCGGGAAAGGTCTCGGAACCGTCACCACGCCAGGGACCTGGCCCGGCGGCGCTTGGTAGGCTGCCATCGGCGGTAGCAAGAATTCAGGAACGGGCCTAGCCGAGACCACGCCGGGAGGAGGAACCCCCGGCGTCGGGACGCTAGGGTTTTCGAAACCCGCGACCGGAGTGAAACGCATTCCGAAGCGGAACGGAGGGGGAGGCCGAAAATCAGCCACCGCTGCACCGAAATATGCGGCGGAGCAGTTGGAACAGGCTGAGACACCGGCGATGGGGTAGGCTCCGGCGCGGAGACTTGCGAGGGAGGCGGCGGAGTTGACGTATTCGAGTTAGTATGGGGGTCGGATTTCTGCGAATTCGAACCTCCGATTGCCGGAGACGGAGAATCGTCGGGCACGGAAATGGAGACGGTGAAAATGCTTGTAACGGGCTCACGTTTCGATATTTTATTGCCTTAAGAGTCGTGTACGGGTCTTGGAGTAACGGGCCACGAAATGGGCCCCGTTCTTTAACAATATACAAGGGCCCAAATAGGTCCATCCATCGACATTTAAACACTCATTTATCCTCTCTTGGGCTGGGCTGGAGACAAAACAAAATTTTATATTTCCAGACGAGTGTTAAAAAGTAGCAAGTTAATATTAGTAAAATGCCAACGAGAGAGCAGAAAGGACAAAACATTCCATAGAAACTCACTTCCTTGGCTTACTTAGAACTCAAGATAGTTAAAGAGAAGCTTCAGACTACAAATAACACAATGCATGACCTTTTTTATTAACGCCTTGAGGGCACAAGACATCCCCCTCTTCAACAGCATACTCCATAAAAAGAATACCAACTTAGAACACAGTAAACACCGTCTTAATTCCAAGTTTACTTCGGATCGACCACATGAATTCTATCTCTCCATTCATTTCATTTCGATTTTGGATCGAATCTTCCAAAGTTTGTAAACATTTTGAATGATGGCTAACAACTCATTTCAGACAAACCTAGATCTATATCTATCTCTCTTCCTCTCTCTTCTATTCCTATATCTTCTCCTTTTCTACCCAAAGCTACTTCTTCATAATTTCTCCTATACTCAATAAAATATATATATACACACACACACACACGATCATGAGATAAACTCTTGGCTTGGAAATCTCAAAAAGTTAAAACCATTAAAAATAATCATCTTTCACCTAATCTGTGCACAACAATAAGACAGGATAACAAAAGACAACATTCTACAGAAACTCACTTCTTTGGAACTTAGGAGAAGCTTCAGACTCGAGTTGCAATATTTTATTTAGGCTGCTTTCGTCTTCTTTTTTTTTGTACCGCAATTCAAGCTTTACTAAAACATGGTCATTGATCTTCCAAGCCAAAACTAACGACTGAGAAAGCTACGGACAAAAATAAAAGAAACCGATAAAGAAAAGGGTCTAGGCTTTAGGTTTTACCGGGAGGAGTCCAGCTTCGACGCGCTTGATCTCGAAGATGAGCATTCTCCACATCTTGAGAACAAACATCTCAGCCTCTTCGTCCAATATCGATTTCAGCAGCTCAAGCATCTGCGGCGCCTTCACGTGTTCCTGTGTGTTCGTCACTATGTAATCCACCAGTGTCGCTTCCTCCTCCCCTAAAAACTCTGTTATTTTCTTCGATATCCATGGCCTCATTCTCTCTTGCAATTGGTGCTATTTTTTTTTCAATATCAACACCCCCCCCCCAAAAAAAAGCAGCCATGTGAGCACCAAAACATGGGCAATGCCCCCATAAATGCGATGTGTATTGAGATTCTTTTGAGTTGCTTACCTTGTCGTATATTGCCCAGTTTATCTCGTATGAAAATAACTCATCCTTTGTCTTCGGGATTGTATCAATCAGTTGTTTTGCATCCAGAAGCTTCTTGGTGTCAGTTGTCTTGGATTTTCCAGTCTCTTTAATGTTTCCAGTATCTCCATCACCTCGGTCTTTATCCCGATACCCTCCCTTATCGGAACGTCTGCTCCTTTCTCTTACGGGTTCTGACCTCTCCTCTCTGGGATTGGCATTGTTTGAAAGGCGTTTTGCAAATTCTGCAGCTGCAGCAAGATGAGGAGGTGTATCCCCTGAGCCGACACTTTGCAAAGCTTGTTGTTCCTCGGCAGAGTAATCAATAGGAACCAGAGGCCTCAGCTTTTTGTCCTTATGTCCATCTTCATCTTCATCCTCGTGGAAAACAGACGGAACTGTCGTCCGCTTTCCAGACCCGACGAGACCAAACCCTAACTTCTTTGAAGGTGCATTCCCATCCTGCTGTGTCTCTGATGCATTATCAACAGCCATTTCCGTATCATCACCAGAGCCATTCTGGAAGATATCTGCAATTACAGATGGACGGAGCCAGTGAGGGAGGAGGCGAGAGGGAAAGATAGAAAAGATGTTAGATTCTTTACCTTCTAAATTGTTACCATGGGCAGATTCACCGATGGTCTGGAGATTTGCCTTGTCTTCATCTTCAAAAGCTGGTGGCATCTGAATCTTTTCACTTCCGACAACACCCTGTCCAGATATAAGCCTTAAGGCATCTAGGTGTTGTTGCTGCAGCCTCTCCTCCTCAGCCTTCCTCTTCGCCTCAGCAACCTCCTCCTCTTCCTTCAATCTATCAGCTAAGTCATCTTCCTTCTCTCTCACCCGTCGCCGTCTTCTATCCTCTACTCCACTCCTATGCCATCTTCTTCTTGAATCATCCTCATCATCATCCTCATCTTCCTCGTGACGAATCTCTTTCTTCCGTTTACGCTCTCTTTCTTTCTCCCTCTCCCTCTCATACTGCCATTCCTTCTCCTTTTCTCTTTCTCTACGTTCCCACTGCCTGAGACGAGCTTGATATGCACGTTCAGCATCCTCCAATTTCCTCCTTTGTTCTCTCTCTTTCCTTAAACGCTCTCGCTCAGCCTCTCTATCATGCCGATCTGTCTCTTGCTCTTTTTCTCTATCCCTGCTTCTCCGATCATGTTTCCTACTCCAATCAGGCGAACTTGTGCCATGTCTATTCTGTTCGCTAGAAGTCTCTACCTCATTTTTGTGATCCGTGGCTTCTACACAGAATCCAAATCCTATCAGTTAAAAAGTAAAATAAAAGTGTAACATATAGCAAGACCATAAAGGAAAACACCAAAAAACAACGGCAACAGACCATTCCATGCAACGTCAGCATCATCCCCATTCTTTGACTTGACTGCAAGTTCCATGCCTGAAACGTCGACCGATGGTGGGGGAGGTGGGGGAGGTAACGGATTGGTTCTCAACCTCTCTTCAATTGCATTTTTAATCTTTTCCATAGCCTCTCTATCAGCTTCCCTCTCTTCATCGGTCACGACTGCAGAATTGGCGATATCAATGTTCTCTGTACTCTTAGGCTCACCAACATTTTTCGCCTCTTCTGAAGAGAGCCCAGCAGTTTCACTCTTATCAGTACCTTCTATTTTCTGTTGCTCTTTCTCAGAACCTTCAGCTGTACTTTCTTCAGATCCAACATCTTGACTTTCCTTGGCTTTCTTTGCATTCTCCCTTTTCTTCTCAACATATCGCTGCAAATACTCCTTTGTTGCTTGATTAACATTTACCTATCAGACACCAACAAAAAGAAAAAAACGAAAAAAGAAAGAATGTTAAGAGATAGCATCCATGCATATGTAGATGCTCCTTCAGTAGCAAATCTGCTTAAATATCTATAAAATTTTGAATAGGGAAATCAACAGGTACCAGAAGCTCTTGCCCATCTATATTAAGTTTGCTCAACAGCCGAATGGTACGGAGAGCACCTTCAGCCGATTCAAATTCATAGAACCCAAAACCTTTAGGCTTCCCCGTGGTGGGATCTTGAGCACGTATCCAGTGTTTGACTGGCCCACAAAACTTCATAAAAGAGGCAAGATCAGTTATCAGAAGATAAATAACAAAAGAACAGTAATCCTACAAGCAGACATAAGTTGTCATAGGCGAGGAGGTCAGGGAAAACATATACAACAGCAACAAGAAGAGCGAATCAGAAAGAAACCTGGAGAATAGACAGCATAAAATCATTCTCCACGGTAGCTATTTTGCCAATGTAAATTGTTGTCTGGGGTTTCTCAGCTGGTGTTACAGAAGGAACAACAGCTGGTCTAACCACAGGAGGTATTACTGGGCGAACACCTAGCATACCAGGGACAGGGGGCCGAAATATTACTGGAACAGTACCAATAGCACCAGGTGGACGAAGAGGAAAGCCAGGACGGACCATTGCTGCATATGGAGAAGGATAGCGAGGAATTCCTGCATAAACAAAAAAAATACTATGCAAATTCATCAGTTAATGCGTTATATCCTAATACCCTGCAAAACTGTGATTCCGTAAATTAAGGATGTTATGAAGAGGAATCTGAAGATGTAGTTACATATTTTTATCACAAATTATAGCAAAATCAGACATACACACCAGAAGCAGTACAACTACCGCCAGCTGAAGAGACAACCTGAAGCAACATTGAAATGATAGCAATGGTCTCGTAGCGCGATGATTATCGCATTAAATATCCTTACCTCATGAGGGCACTTCAAAGATACAAGCTTTTTAAACCATCAGACCCAAACGATGAATTCTGATATTGGATAAAACAGAAACACCAGCATCTCATGCCCACATGGAAATTAAGTCAAATATTATTTTTCATCATTAACTTGGTCTCAACTGTTAGCAGCTTGCAATGTCCTTCGAAGGAAGGAGAGCAAGAAAGACAAACATGGGGAAGGCATGAGGAAAAAACTGTAATGTAGAATTGTGATACCTCAAAATCAAGACCAAGGAGCACAGACTTCTAGCAATGCTTGCTGCTGGTAGTTGGTTAACCCATCAAGGGAAAATGTTCTTAACAACTATAGTAAATTGCCCATGTATCATCATAACATAATTGGACAAAAGCAAGATAACATATGGAGGAAGTTCCATTCTGTTAAACTACTTCAACAGGTCCACGAACAGGTTATGCAATTCAAAAATATAAGGCAAAGAGGAACAAAAGCGAATTTGTGCATACCAAAATGAGGGAGTGGTAGAAATGAGTCCCTAATTTGAAGCCTTGCAACCTTTCTCACG